GGCGGCAGAGGCGCCCCGGAGGCCGTGCTTAGCTCCTCGCACGGCACAGCGGACGCCTCACGCGTTCCCGCCCCACGGCTGGGCGCCGAGGTCAAGGCCAGCCCGGCCGGCAGCGGTGGACCAGCCAGTGGCTGAGCGCCCGCTGTCACAGCGGACCTTTACAGCATGGCCGGTTCCCATAACCGACTCTCTCCCCGGGTTCCCGTCGCCTTTCCTGCTTCTGGGCTGGCTGCTCTTTCGAGAGCCAACAGAACATGTCCCCAGCCCTTCCTGATTCTCTCAAACAAGGGCCAATCAAACCAGAGGTAGGGGACTGAGTGGGCCTCACAGGAAGTGCTGCTTTAAAGGAGGACACCTGTGGCTCTGCGCTGGCCAGGCGCCCCCCAGGCCCCAGGGAAGAGCAGCTGAAGTCCGGGGTCCCAGTCGACTGAGGGGGGTCCCCGCTAGGGCAGCTGCGGGACAACGCAGGGGTTTGCGTGGCCGAAACATTAAAGTATTTTATTCTATGCTGTTATTTAATAGATTATAATGCAGCTGGAAAAAAAAAAAAACTTGCAGTTTTTACTTGAACACATTCGCTTATGATGAAAGTAGATTCTGTGCTGAATCACTGTTGTAAGATCGTAGTCTGAGAAATTGGGCTAAACATGCGTTTAATGCCCCGGTTTTGAAAGCTATTATTTTTCAAAACCAACAGCTGGTTTCTATGGATGGAAAGAACAGGGTAATGCGTGTGGGAGCTTGTGTGTGTGTGTGTGTGTGTGTGTGTGTGCGCGCGCTTGAGTCCCTGCATCCACAGGCACCTGTGTGCATGCACGAGTGTGCGTGTGTGTGTTCCTGGTTGTGTCTGAATGCGTCGTGCATATGTGTGTGTATGCACGCATGTGTAGAGAGGAATAGAGAGACTTACTCTGCTTAAAAGCCCAAAAAACTCCACCGTGAAGCTGCGTGCTTCTCCGTGGACAGTTTGGGCACCTGGGCTGTGTGCCAGGTACGAGTGTCCCAGGACCCCTTCATCCGTTCAGCCTGCCCCCATCTTCCGCCCCGAAGGCCTTACGCATTTCCGTCCTTGCCTAAGGATGCGAGGCTCAGAGAGGCGACATTTGCCAAGCCCACAGCCAGTAGGGGGCCAAGCTCACCATGGACCAGGTACCTCCCCCCACCACCTGCTCCCGGACAATGGCAGTGGGTGGGGTCCCCCGGCACAGGCCCGTGGGAGCCAAAGGGTAGGGCAGAGTGCTCACTCTTACTGGACCTTGCAGGAGGCAGCCCTCCCCAGCAGCCAGGCTCAGGTGAAGGGGAGTGTGGCCTGGGCCTCCGCTCCCCTGTCCCCTCCGGAGTCAGCCCGGACTAGCCAAACACGGAGGAGGCCGGACTCAGCACCAACACCTGTGCAACAAATGGGAAAATCTGGGCAGAGAGCTGCGGGGGTGGGGTTGGTGGCTCGGCAGGTGAGAGTCCCAGGAATCGTCCCCTGCAGGAAGGGACATTCATGGTGACCCTGAGAAACAACAGCACACGCTGGGCTTTGCCCTGGATTCTATCACTTAGCTGGAATGAGATGGAGCAGGCATCTCCCATCACTTCCGTTTTGCAGGTGAAGAAACAAGCTCGGGGTGAACCGCCTGGGGCACGCGATTAGCGGGGTACAGCAGCATCCCATGCACCCCAGGGCTCGATGCTGCGTGATCAACAGACGGTCTCCGAAGGAGGTGGAGGGCGACACTCGGGGCTCTTGGTTAATATTTAAAACAGATTCGACAGAACAGGTGTTTTCTGACCCCATCTGTGGGCCGAGCAGGTTCATTCTGGGGGTGGGTGAGGAAGAAGTTATAGATTGGATTGTGTACCCTCAAATTCATGAGTCAGAGTGCTCACCCCCCAGGGCCTCAGAGCGTGGCCTGATTCGGCAGTGAGGGGCCGCAGGTGTGATCAAGTGAAGGTAGGTTGTGGTAGAGTCGGGGTCGCCTTGTGAGAGGGAGAAGTCCGAACGCAGGGAGACAGGTGGGGTGACGCTTCGGGAAGCCCGGGGTCGCCGGCCAGCACCGGGAGCTGGGGGGAGGCCCGGGCCCCATGCTCCCTCGCGGCCTGGAGGAAGCGGCCTGCCCACGCCTGGATCTCAGACTTCCGGCCTCTAGAGCTGGGAGAACCCGCACAGCCAGGCCCAGTGGGGCCCGCCTCACAGCTGGGGCCAGGAGGACGTGCGACGTGCTGAAGGCACACGGCTCCCAGGTGGCCTGGCCCTGGGCGCCCACCCGAGCCTGCTGCAGGCCACAGAGTCAGGGCCTGTGCCAATTTGGGTTCACGCAGGTGGTGGTGTCACCTCCACTCTATCTCTTGACCGGCGACACCTGGTCCCCAGGAGGCCCAGGCACCCCTCCTGGACATGGCGCTGCCCTCTGCCCGTCTCCACACGGAGCAAGGCCCACCTGCCCCGAAGCCACCAGCCCCGCTCTGTCCAGTCTGCGCATTTGCGGGACACCAAAGCCGGCCGGGCTCTCCTCTGGGTGGGCTCTGGCCTGGCAGCCCCAGGAACGTCCCTGTCCACGCCCAGGGCTTCATCCTTCCTGCCATCCCCTCTCACAGTCCCCACCCCACCGCAGCGTAAGGCCGAGTCTGACGGAGGAGTCCCATCCAACGGACACGGAGGAGGCCCAGACCGCAGCCAGCCTCCCCACCCGCCTTCAGGTCCTGCGTGAACCTGTCTTCACCCCTTCGAGGAGCGTCAAGTCCCCAAAGAGCCCTCATGGGGGAGGGGCGGGGGGTCTGAGGCACGTAGGGTCTCCCGGAGAAAGAAATCAGGACAGGGGTGGGGCCCACGAACCCGTTGTGAGCAGATGCCATCTGAGCGGGAACGGGGCGCCCCAGTGGCTCCAGAGTTGGCAGGCTCCCTCCCTCTCTCCCCTCATTGCTGTCACCACCACACCTGCCCTGCTGGGGGCGAGAGGATGGGCGGGCAGAGAGGTGGCAGGTGTGGGGCAGGGTCTCTGACTTCAAGGCTCTGGGGGACTTTGGTGAAGAGTCTGCAGGAGTGGGACGCAACGAGGCGCCCGCTGTGGGAGAGGGGACAGCAGTCCCTCAGAAAGTGAAACAGAGCAGCGCGTGACCCAGCAATCCCGCTCTGGGGGTGCGCCCCAAACGACCGAAGGCAGGGACTCCGGCAGATGCGCGCCCGCCCACGTTCATAGCAGCGTTAGTCATGCTCATCAGATGGTGGACGCGGCCTGTGTCCACAGACGGCTGACGGACGCTCAGAACGTGGTCCGTGCAGTGGGACATCACTCAGCCTCAAAAAGGGAGGAAATTCTGACGCCTGCTGCGACATGAGCGAACCTTAAGGACGTTATGCTGAATGAAATAAGCCAGTCACAGATGGACAGACATTGTATGATTCCACGCAGACGAGGTCTCTAGAGGAATCAGATTCGCAGAGCAGAAAGCAGGGTGGGGGTGCCGGCGGCTGGGGGAGGGGGCGGAGACAGAGTGTGCGCTGGGGACGGAGTGTCGGTTTGGGATGAGGAGAGAGCTCTGGAGGTGGTGGTGGTGGTGACGGCTACGCAAGATCGTGGACGTTCTCAATGCCACGAATCTGTACACTTAAAAATGGATAAAATGTTAACAAGAACATCCCAAAACGCTGTGATGCCTTGATTGGGGGAGTCATGGGTCCCCCTACAAGGGAGAGGCAGGAGCATCAAAGACAGGAGCATTAATAAACAGCGCTGAATAAATTTTAATAAATCCAAACCTCTCAGGAGTGGCCAGCCGGTCACCCCTGCCTGAGCAGAGCTGACAGGAGAGGCGGCCAGGTGGCCTCGGGGGCTGCCGGCCGCTCTGCTTGCCCAGGCCTGGTCCACCGCCCGCTCGTGCCAAGGGAAAGGCAGCCCTGCGTGTGAGAAGTCAACAGACCAGGACCCACTGCCCGGGCCCCCAGCCCCGGCCCCGGGCGCCCCTTTCTGATGGGGAGCACAGGACGGGCCCTCGGTGATGGAGCTTCAGCTGCTCCGAGCGGGCCTTTGAACCTCTCGGTGAGTTCAGAGACCTCCTGCCTCCCTGGGGGTTGAAGGACTCAGAAAGGTGAGCGAGCAGGTCTATAATTAGCGCCCACCCATTGGAGGGCGACCTTGCCGGGGCTGCATTCCAGGGCCGAGCCAGATATAGCCCCAGAGCTGACCCGTCCCCTCCCCAGCTGCAACAGCTGGACGGCAGGGCAGACCGCGCTG